AATCTTTTCAACCATACTCTTCCTGTTCCATCAAGCCTCTCCCCTTCCATGATCTTAACAGCCTCCTTCCTTTCCCCCTGTAGCCTCCCCCTTCCTGCTCTGGTAACCCTCTTCCCCCTTAACCTCTGCCCCTCCAAGATGGTCAGACATAATTACTTTTTGTGTGGAAGGTCACTAGGAAACATACTATAGAGTTCTCTCTTGGGTCCTGGTGAGATATCTCTCCCTAGTATCTTGTGAGTTACTGAGATAATAGTTAAAATCACATACAATTCACTATGAGTAAATTTCCAGCAATTATTAAAGCATGTTGAGGGCATCACGTCACTTGGCTTTTATAGGTGGCAAGTACAGCATAGGTTGATAAAACACGTTTTGTAAAAAAAAAGGTCCTATTTAAAGGTCACAGAAGAAAAGTGCCAACGCTTAGAAAGGTCACCCAGAAGAGCTGGAGGAAATGCCATTACTGAAAGTCTAAAACTCTCCCTGGAGATCTGTCTTCCTCCCCTCTCACCCTCCCCTGTGGCACTCTGCCCCCTTCCCTGGCACTCTTCCTCCACTCCAGTTGACTCATCTCCTCCAAACCTTCGAGTGTCAACACTGAGGAGACTCCCTAACAAGATCCCAGGAGCTGAAGTGAAAAGGTCAACCCGTAAATGGTAACATCACTTCATTTGACCTTTAAAAGGCACGACAGTTTCCAGTTTGGAACTATATGTTTCCTACCTACCAAACCTTAAATAAGTTACGCTGGTTTTGTTAGTCTGTTAATATATATAATTTGCTTCCTGGATTATTATATTCGAGTTACAAAGGCATAAATTAATACCTCAATAACCTCCAAAATCTGAGAATTATAGGATAATCTATTCTATAATCCTTTCTAACTCTCGTCAGCTATATTAAAATACTAATATAATCGGCCCCACAGATAGAGTTGCCCATTATACGTGCAATATTATCCACCTCCGGGGAAGGATTTTAATTATAGGGAAACATTATCAAAGACTAACATACTAATTACAGATAATTACTGGCTGGTGACCACAGTAACGTTAAGGAATTTTCACAACAAACTAAATCCCTGTGAGAAAATGGTGGTACTGATAGAGTTATCTTGAGGTTATCTTGAGATGATTTCGGGGCTTTAGTGTCCCCGCGGCCCGGTCCTCGACCAGGCCTCCACCCCCAGGAAGCAGTCCGTGACAGCTGACTAACACCCAGGTACCTATTTTACTGCTAGGTAACAGGGGCATAGGGTGAAAGAAACTTTGCCCATTGTTTCTCGCCGGCGCCCGGGATTGAACCCGGGACCACAGGATCACAAATCCAGCGTGCTGTCCGCTCGGCCGACCGACCGACTGATGTATTAAATATATATCCATTGTTTCCTGTTCTGTTTTATTGTTGATATATTTAATACTTAATATTCCTTGTTTGTCATACCCTTTTCATCCCTTTGTATACAGTCACATCACACAGTCACATCACTCTTGATGTGACTGTGTGTCACATCAAGTCTTCCTTTCAGAGTCACATCACTCTTCCTTTCCCTAAAGAAAGTATAGCAAGCTTTCTTATCTCTCATCATATGGAAGATTTCTTAATCCTAGGATTTATTTGCTTATCTTCCTGCGGATTCGTTCAAGTGGATTTACAGCTGCGGCTGGAGGATAAGATGAGTGGTTTCATTACTAGCCAGTAAAGTGGGCCTCGTTAAGGCAGTAAAGTGGTGTTCATTTAGCGAGGTCGGTTCATGGGGTAGTTTAGTCAACGATGGTGGTTGGGGGTTGGGTTAGGTAAGGCTGGTTACGAAGGTAAACCCAGTTGGGTAACGAGGGGGTTATACGTTGTGTGAAGTAGTTAAATAGGGTAAGGGGGGGGGATAGGTCAAACACAGTATGGTTCATCATATGTGTAGTGGTACACCACCACACACCTGTACTGGTACACCACCACACACCTGTACTGGTACACCACCACCACACCTGTACTGGTACACCACCACCACACCTGTACTGGTACACCACCACCACACCTGTACTGGTACACCACCACACACCTGTACTGGTACACCACCACACACCTGTACTGGTACACCACCACACACCTGTACTGGTACACCACCACCACACCTGTACTAATACACTATTCATTTTTCAACATGGCCATTTAAGTCTAAAAGCAATTAAAAACTTTTGAACTAATCATTTCAGACTGACGTCCATTTATTGGGAAATATGGAGGGTGGTGGGGGGGGGAGGAGTGAGGGGAAGTGAGGGGAAGTGAGGGGAGAGGTGAGGGGAGAGGTGAGGGAAGGGGTGAGGGGAAGAGGGTGAGAGTGTAGTGATTGAGCCATTAGCTGATAAGAGAGGTTTTCCAATGATAACCAGAATGAAATCTCTTACCTGAAGCTTGATGAGGATAGTCACAGACTGCTGGAACACCTTGGTCTGGTACCTGGTGCGGTGGGTAGGGGGCAGCATGTACCTCACCTCGTGTCCTGGGAGTACAAGGAGGAGAAACACAGTTACAGGCGAGGAGTCACAATAACGTGGCTGAAGTATGTTGACCAAACCACACCCTAGAAGATGAAGGGACGACGACGACGTTTCGGTCCGTCCTGAACCATTCTCAAGTCGACTTGAGAATGGTCCAGGACGGACCGAAACGTCGTCGTCCCTTCAACTTCTAGTGTGTGGTCTGGTCAACAAAGAAACACAGTTAACCATGTGATTACGGTGTTGTGAAGGTCTTAGTGAACAGACGCCAATGGCGCTCAATTAATGATAGAGGAGATCCAGGGGGCTTATTTCACGGTGATGGAGCTTCCAGGGGCATGCTTAATGTCAGTAGGTTTCCAGGGAGAGGTCAGGTAATGAATGGGGGGTTCCAGAGAGCTCTACTTATGACAAAAATGCTTCCAGTGTCGTGAAGTAAAAATAAGGGTTTCCAGAGGGCTGATGTAATGACGAGAGGCTTCCAGGGGGTTCAAATAATGACTTAGAGGCGTTCAGTGGACCTCAGTAATGACACAGAGTGTGATGGAACCCTCACGCCTCCACAACACCACTTGACACACACACAAATGTAGATATGATAGAGCCCAATAGGCTCAGGAATCTGTACACCAGTTGATTGACGGTTGAGAGGCGGGACCAAAGAGCCAGAGCTCAACCCCCGCAAGCACAATTAGGTGAGTACACAAAGAGGAAACAGAACATTAACCAGGAGCTATGTCACAACCGCATCTCTACATAAAGATGCACACACACATACACACAACATACATATACATACACAAACACACATGAGCACCTATGCCTACACGAAGGTAAGGATTCTCTCATGTTGAGAGTAATACCCCCCAGGTTGCAATTATTTTGACCATGTCGTGGCGCGTAGTCGTCCTTAGCCTGCGTCTGGGAATACCTAGCGCTTAAGTTCGAGACCACATCACGGCTCCAGTGGATTTTCCTGTGATGTTGTTTCTCTGTGTATTGAGAGTAAATCCTAATACAGGAAGTTACAGGAAGCAAGTTTAACGTGTGTATGGCGTCTGGGGGAGGGGGGGGGCGTTAACCGGTCGTGTGTATGAAACTGGACACCAGAATTGCCTTTAAACTGATTAGGTTTTATGTGAGTGCGTTTGCGTGCGTGCGTGCGTGCGTGGGTGTGCGTGTGTGTCTGCATGTACTCATGTGCCTATCAGCTACGTGAGGTTAGTTCCTTAATCTTTCCTAGGAACTCTTGCCTTTCAAGTCTGGCACTTGTCTGGTGGCGCACCATTCATTTATACTCAGCTGTGTTCTGTGTTTGACAATATACGGGCACTATACTTGCGCCTCATTTTTAAGCTTTGGTCTGACGTACGTGGTGTATAATGTCCTACACGACTCCTTGTTTAGCCATCCGAAGACAGAGGTTCTTCTCCTTGGTACCTTGAGTTCAGCCTCCTGACCCCAACACCAATCTTCACCGCATTGCATTTGCTGGAGTTAAACTCTAGTAGCCACTTCTTGGAATTTGTTCAAATCTTCCTGTAGCTTCTTACAGTTTTCTTGTGTTTGTTCTCAGAATGTCTGTGTCATCAACAGACAGTGATAGAGCCCAATCGTCTTGGAGGATCATATACATAAACCAGGAAGAGACTGGTTATAACCGGTAATGTTTTGTGCTTCTTTGACAGCTGCATATTCCAGAAAGTGTGTGACGTATGTGACATAGCACCCAGCACACCACAACAGTCCCGTGACTCAAGAGTGAGGCGGACCCACACGCACGGGCTGCCGGCGGGGCTGCTCGTATCAGGATATCGTAAGAGTTGAGTCTCATGTTTACGAGGTAGTAAATAGGAGAATATTGACCGCTAGCAACGCGGTCATTAACCCAGGTCCACAGTGTGTGTGTGCTACTAGTCGTGCTCGCGCCGGTTGAGCTCCAGCGATTGGACCCGCCTCTTGTCCCCTCGGTCGACTGGAATTAGCCCGTGTGCCTATCGTGTCTACTTCTGAATTAGCATATAGAGTAACCAATGACTATATCACTTCAATATCAATTCAAAGCCCTAAACATAAATATTAATTCCTAATATATTTTTCTCACCATTTGATATCATGTACGCTGTGATCATGTTTCCTCTGCCGCTTCTCTTAATTCACACTCATAAGTTACGGAGCCAATTTTGCGACAAAACTCTGGACATTCTCAGCCTTCTTTTTTTCATGTTTAACTAGGTTAGGGGTCCGTGCTGGTGCTGCATAATATATAACTGGTCGTACATACGTGATGCACCACGTCTTGACACAGCCTTCACTCATAACTCTCCAGGTTATCCTCACCAGCTTCTCATGCTTGTACAAGAGCCAGTTGGGCACGAGTGAACGGTAGGAACTTAACTGACGAGTGAAAGTTATTGAAGTAGCTAACACACAATGTGACCGGTACGGGAGGAGTGAACATTGGTGAACGCTGGTGAACGTTGCTGAACGTTGCTGAACGTTGGTGAACGCTGGTGAACGTTGCTGAACGCTGCTGAACGTTGGTGAACGCTGGTGAACGTTGGTGAACGCTGGTGAACGTTGGTGAACGCTGGTGAACGCTGCTGAACGCTGGTGAACGTTGGTGAACGCTGGTGAACGCTGGTAAAGGCGCAGTATGGAGCCAATGGCCCACAATTACGGGTCTTGTGGCGCTGGGTCCGTGACACGGAGCATTCCGTGACTCCGTGTACCCGCAGGAAGGTCACGCACCTTCTGGCAGTGTCCAGGCCACCTTCTGGGTCACCAGGTCGCAGGGGTGACCTTGGTGCTGGTGGTGGTGGTGGTGCTAGTAGTGGTGGTGAGTGGTGACGATGGTGGGGGAGGCTGGTGGTGATAGTGGCTCTCTCTCTCTCTCTCTCTCTCTCTCTCTCTCTCTCTCTCTCCTGGCGTACAGGGTATCGTAACCACTTCACTATTGATCGTGAATGTCTAAAATGCCTGTGACTGGTCTGGGTCACCAGTAAATGGCGGGAAACACCGGTGACTGGTCTAGAACACCGGTAGTTAAATGGTCTGGACCACTAATGACTGGTCTGGAAACGCGCATCTAAATAATACAATTTTACCGTTTAACATTTACCTTAAAAACGTGCCAGAGCGCACAAATAAATAAATTAAAAACAGTGGTTCATTTCCTGGCCTTCTTCCTCTTCACCAAATGGTCTCTCCTGTTCCATTTGCCTCTCAAAACTCACCAACTGAACACTACAAAGCCTCCTTTCCCTTTCCGCTTTAACAAATATGGACTCTCCCTTTTCCCCTCACTTTTTAAACTTCACCAAATGGACTCTTCCGTCCCTTCTAATAATTATCTCTAGCTATAACGAACAAAATCTATAATTTAGTGATTAACAATTCACATTGACCTAATTTATTTTCTTTATGGTATATAACAAAGTGTATCAGTCTCCCGGCGACGCAGTTGTCTATAACGAACAAATATTCGGACAATTTACAATTAATGGCATCAGATGATTTTATTTTCAGCTGCATTTTTCCTTTTAATTATTGGTGTTCCTGCTGAGAGAGAGAGAGAGAGAGAGAGAGAGAGAGAGAGAGAGAGAGAGAGAGAGAGAGAGTTCCCCCTCCCACCCCAGCATGAACAACTCCGGGCAACAAGGGACATTAACACGCAGGAAATGATACATGCCGCGTCCATTTGGGGCTGTCAGGCAGGCATACAATATGTAAGTTGAGCCCTTTATGCCCCCACATCCTCCTACAGCCAGTACATCAGCCCATGTTAACATTTAATTGTTTTTTATTGCTTTTTTCTCTCGAATTTTCCATCTTATGTACGTTTATTTTGTGTGTATTTACTATTTGTGTCTGCAGTATCAAACTATTAGCTCTTGGGCCCCGCCTTTCTAACCAATCTCTCTCCTCTATTACATATATTTATCTCTAACACACACACATCCCCAGGAAACAGCCCGTAGCAGACGTCTTACTCCCAGGTACCTATTTACTGCTAGGTGAATAGGTGCATCGGGGTGTAAGAAACTCTCCCCATTTGTTTCCTTGTGTGTGTGTGTGTGTGTGTGTACTCACCTAGTTGTGCTTGCGGGGGTTGAGCTTTGACTCTTTGGTCCCCCCTAGGGACCAAAGTGTGTGTGTGTCGCACACGCGCGTGCGTGTGAGCAAGTACAGCAATAGGAAGAACAGGGTTCACCAAAGCCTTTTGGCTGTTTAGTCAACCAGAACTTTTCTCTTTTAGAATGTAAGAAGAGCAGAGTTGGCTAATGTCCTGACACTAGTTGGCTGTTTACACGTCACGGAGAAGCAATTAGGGCTTGTAAATGGTGATTAATTGTCCTTAACCCTGGTCTTATGGGAGTTTGTGGTAATTAATCCGGAAGATAACTGTGTAAACACACACACACACACACACACACACACACACACACACACACACACACACACACAATTAGGTAAGTACAATTAGGCAATTAGGTAAGCACACACACACACACATCATAGAGTCAATGCTCAATCCTGCAGACACAAATAGGTGAGTACAAATAGGTGAGTACACACACACACACACACACACACACACACACACACACACACACACACACACACACACACATACAAGCAGGACCAAAGAGCCAAAGCTCAACCCCCGCAAGCACAATTAGGTGAGTACACACACACACACACACACACACCACTCAAAAGTCAGCATTATCTAAGATATAACCAATACAATAAATCAGTGTATATAATTAAGTCGATGGGTTACCAGCATGCATAATATAGAACAGAGAGTAACGCAAGCTACACTGTTGATTGGATCGCTGGGAAGGCGCGAAACAAAGGTGCAACATGATTGAAAACGTGTGTGGTGTTAAGCACTGCTTCAGAAATAGCATTTGTGATGTTTGGATACAGTTAGCGAGTAGGATACTAGACACAGTCACGTTTGAAGCACAGAGGCCAGATTCACGAAGCAGTT